AGCTGGGTGGACTTCAACTCCCAGAATTCTGGGAGTTGAAGTCCACCCAGCTTAAAGTGGCTAAGGTTGAGAAACACTGCTCTACAGCATCTCTGAGAGAGGACCACCCAGCCTCTGTTGGAAGCCTCCAGTGAAGTCCCCTGCCGGCTCACTTTCCACCTCCCAGGAGAGTGGGGCAAAGCAAGGATTCCTCGCTTGGGTGTTCTCCCCACCCATTCTCCAAAGTGATGAGGACCATATCCCTTTGATGTCTCCTCCGCAAAGGAGGTCACCACCTGCCTGGGGAAGGGAGGTAGTCAGAAGAACATCCAGCAGGAATGGGAGCCAGGTGGCTCTGCTCCCGGTTCAAGGCCAGCTCTTCTCCAGCCCATACTGGTCAGAATGTTGGCTTGGCTTTAAGACCTTAGACCAGGGTGGTCCTCCTTTGACTCTCCTCCATATTTGCTTCCCCTCCGTCTGCCCGAATGGGGCTCCTTTGAGCTGCAAGGGGGTGTCTTTTTGGTGCTCATGCCCTTGCCTTGGGCCCCCTGCCCCTCCATTCTGAGGATCTTTTCTCCCCCCTGCTCTGCTTGGGGGGTCCCTGACCCTTTGCCCTCTCTCCCCCCTCCCCTCCTAAAGCAGCCACGCCCTGCATCAAAGCCATCAGCCCCAGTGAAGGCTGGACGACAGGCGGGGCCACCGTCATTGTGATCGGGGACAACTTCTTTGACGGGCTTCAGGTGGTCTTTGGCACCATGCTGGTGTGGAGTGAGGTGAGTTTGGAGACTTCCTTCCTTGCTGGATTCATTTTTATCTCCCACCTTTTTCTTTCTCCCTTCTTCTTACTTCCCTCCATTTTCCCCTTCGCTTCCCTTTCTCCATCCCCCACCCATCCTCTGCTTCCCCTTTCCTCTGTCCATTCATCCTTTCCTTCCCTTCCCTTCACCCTCTTTTCCTCTCCCTCTCCCCTTCTCTTCCAATCCCATCGTATTATGTCTGATTCCTCTCCCCTCCCCACCCCTCCCCTTTTTTCCCATCCCTTCCTCATCCATTTCTTCCCTCCCCGTCTCCCCCAACCCAAAGGCCTTGAGTTCCAACCAACTCAGAAGAGTCCCAGGCTGATCTGACGCCATCTTTCTGCCACTCTTCATTTTTTTGCTCCTGGGAGAGTTTGCAGAAACAATCCAGACCAAGTTAACAAAAGGCAGACATCACGCCAAGCCCGCCCACCTCCACGCTCGGTGGACGAACCAACATGAAAGTTAGAGCCGTTCGGCAAATAAACGGCTTTCGGTCTGGGGTCAAAGAGGTCTGCTTGGGCACCCCTGTCATTGGGCCCTGGAAGAAGCTGCGTCTTTCTCTGGGCACCGGGCAATGCACCTCTGAGTTAAGGAGGCATTGACAGCTCCCCTCCCTGCTCCCACTTTTGGGTCCAAAGCACAGCCCATCCCTCGTGGGGGCCATTGGCATCCCCTTTATGGGCAGTGTTGGCTACCCTCCAAAAGGCTCTCTGCCTGGTTCTCTTAGAAGGAGTTTCCTGGGCTGTTGCTCCACGTCCACGGGCTCTTTCGGGGTAGGTGGCAGAGAGGGGGAGTGCAGGAAGAAGTGTGGACCTAGAGCAAGGGACCATAAACCCCACGGATGGGGGGCGGCGGAGGAGGAGGTGGCTGCAAGCCGCAAATGTCCACAGCTTCTCTGTGCCCTGCCTCTTGCCCTGCTGTCAAGCTTCCCCTTCTGGTTTGACTGTCCTCTTCTCCCCATAACAGCTCATCACGCCACACGCCATCCGTGTCCAGACGCCACCACGGCACATCCCAGGGGTGGTGGAGGTGACGCTCTCCTACAAGTCAAAGCAGTTTTGCAAGGGAGCCCCGGGGCGTTTTGTCTACACTGGTAAGCGCCAGGCAAGAGGGAGAGGCGGGCAGCGCAAGAGAGAAGGGAGAGAAGGGCACTGCGGCTTCTGCCACGAAGCTGGTGGCCGCAGACCGTGTGACGAAATCCCTACACGCCGACAGCAGGTGGGGGCATCTGCCCGACCTTGGCTGTATTCAAAGGGCTAACTAGCACTGGTGTAGCTGGGTAATCCTTGGACGGGAGACCACAAGGAAATCTCAAAGCTAGAAACAACCCAGAAGAAACACGGGCGCGCCCAGGTCATTGCTAAACAGGCACATGGCTGTGCCTGCCAAGTCAGCACAAAAAGCAAGACTTTCCCCTGTTTTCCACAACCTTCAGACATGCTGCCAGCAACCAACATGGCTGGATACGTAACACAGTGGGTGACCTGCAGTTCTAGGTCTCTGTGTGGTGCTCGGACTAAATTTCACCATCTTGTGCATGGACGATCTATGGTGCTGATCTTGCAGAAGAAGTTCTGGGTAAAGGAGGCGGAATATGGCGAGGACGCAGACACACCCAGGCGTGCTCCTCTGCCCCCCCCCGCCCCACCTGGCTCTGATTCTTTCCAGTTCTGGGGGGAAGAAGGAAGGTTTCCCAAGCTAAGAGGGGGGGAAATGAGTCAGTCCTTGTTATAGGAGGGAGAGACCTCGGCCCGTCTGCTGCCATCAAGGTGTGTGTTAGAGTTGTGGGCTTTGCCACGAGTCACAATTCTGCAGCCAGGCCAGAGTGACGAGTGCAAACAGAGGCCGGCAGATGCAGATTAGAGAGCGTGCAAATTAAGCTCATTTGCAGCTTTTTGCTTATTTGGCCTAATTCGTGCTATTTTGTTGATGGGAAACAGCAGTTCCATGACAAACTAAAACCTTCATCCGTTAGAACGGCTTTGGCCGTGGGCTCCAAAAAATCTGGGGCGGGCGGCTTATTCGTTCTTTTGCTGGCTGACCCCTGTCTGCGGCCAAAGGTGCCATAGTGTTCTTAAGGACTAGAAACTTGGTTTAGGGGGGACTCATTACAACAGTGACGCTGACATTGGTGATAAAAGTGGGGAAAAAAATGGGCGCCTCTTGCCAGTTAAGGTTCTATTCAGGGTTAGCCGGCATCTCCTAGGGTGAGTTTTGATCTATGGTTGGTCTGTTTTTCCCCACTTCTGCTAGCCGCGTGGAGAGTTATTCCCAGCCTTCTTTAGCAGGAGGTTGTTTTTTAAAAGTGCAGACGGGGATTCTCAAAAGCCAGAGCCCTGTGGCTAATGCGCATTCCCACCGCCTTGCTGGAAAGGGCTGGCCTGAACGGGGCCCCGTGGCGGCAGGTGGCGGAAGGGCCGGTCCACGCTGGGGGGCTCCTGGGCCACCAGGTCAGAAGAGGAAAATGAACTGGAAGGTATTTGGGGCAAACAGAAATGTCCAGCCCACAGGGCATCCCAGAAGCTCTGGATTTGGACTGGAGGAGAATCCGTTGCCTGCTAAAACGCCCACTTGGCATTCCACACTATGAGCTGCAGCCTTGATTTGATTTGATTATTCCGTTCCGTTCCGTTCTACTTCACTTTACGTTTTGCTTTGCTTTGCTTTTCACTTCACTTCACCTCACTTCACTTTAGATTTTACGTTATGTTACATGAATCTACTTTATTGACTTCGCTTTACACTTCACTTCACGTGTTATGTTATGCTGCTTTATATTTCACTTCACTTCACTTTACTTTACTTTGCATTTTATGTTACGTTATGTTACTTTATTTACTTTACACTTCACTTCGGCCCATTTATACGGCCCCCCATCTCGCCACAGTGACCCGGGCAGCCGGCCTAGAATCAAATCTCAACAGAATCCGATGCTCTTTGTCTCCACCGCTCCTAGCCTGGCTCGGACGGTCCAGGGGGGGGACGGCCCATGCTCTGCCTGGGACCCCGAGGGGATGCTCTCGGCCCCCCCGCCCCCCCCCCGTCTGGGCCCAGAAGCCGGACGGAGGCCTTTCAGGCTATCCTGGCGGCCAGACCGGGGCTTGGAGAGGCGCAGTGCCAGCCACGCGGGTCTGGTGGGCGAGGAAGCCACAGGGCAGCGTCAAATCATTCCCGGGATCCGAGCCTGACTCAGGGGGGCTGGACCCCATTGAACCAGATCCTCCTCCTGCACCCCCGCAGACCAGGACCCAACAGCTGTGAAGGGGCTGAATTAAGGTCCCGGTTCAAGTGCACCCTGAGCCTTTGAAACCCAGGGGGTGACTTTGGGGCATTCGCTCCCTCTCAGCCCAGCCTACCTCACAGGATTGCTGTGAGGCAGGAGAAATGAAGGGAGACCTGCACAGAAGCCCCCCCGGGAGCAGAGAGAGGCTCAACCTAAGCACCCAGCGCAGGGGGCCTCCTCCAAGGAGCGCTTTGGCAGCCCAAACCAGAGGCATGTGCCCCAAGTGCAAACTCCGTCGGGCAAGTTCCCCTTCCCTGCCTTTCACAGCCAGCTCTCCGACATAGGATGGGGTCTGCTGTCTGGCGGAGCCTACGGGGGCACGGGGCCGGGCCAACTCCTCGGAGACCTTTGCTAGCCGAAAGTTTGGATTTCGGGGCTTGGGGAGGAGGCATGAGAGCAGTGTTTCTCAACCTTGGCCGCTTTAAGAGG